GAGAACTTGAGCCTCTTCTTTGTCTGGATAGCCTTCTGCTCTCCTTCCCTATTCTGGGCAATCGCCTTAAACATCCCTTGCTTAGCAACCACCTTCTTCTCCTCCATTTGACGGAAGGCATTCATTTGATAGTGGGCGGCTGACCATGCCATCAAGTGAAACCGGTCGCTTTGTTGACCGAAATCCATGCCTCCCATACTCTTCAGCACAGGCTCAGAGGAATTGGAGGGGGCTACCTTCGCAGGAGAAAAGGATAGTCTTTCGTCGCAGGCGTCTCCATGTACAATTCCATCTTAGTATTCACCATTGTGAAATGCCCGACGGAGCTCGAGCAAACGTTGGCATCATCATCGATGGAAGGGACACACCTCAAAGGAGAACCATTTCATTCAGATCAAGGAGGAGGTGGGGAGATGCCTTCAACAGGAAACTTTCTCTTCCAGTGGAGAGTTCAACTATCAAACTCCGCCTCGTCATCAGCTTGAGTGTTGGAAACTTAGATTGAAATGGACGTTGCTTGACTCTCTTTGCCCCTCGACATCGACAAAGGGAACGCCAAGCAGCTTGGCTACCTCCGCCCTAGCCAGAGACGCCTCTTCCTCTTCCTCTCCGCTTAGCATGAAGAAACTTGGTGTCTTGGGAGAGTCCTTCTAGGGAACTACCAAAGTCCCAAAACTTGACAAGAAATCCCTCAGGTTAGCAAGAACTCCCTAAAAGATCCAAAAATTACTAAATAATTTTTGCAGCAAAAAAAGAAATAAGACCTATACCTTTTGTTTCGGCCCTTGCAAAAATTGATGATTTTTGTGATTGGAGACTCGTAGTTGCCTTGGGATAAATGACCTATGCCCTCAGCTTCTTTCTAGCTACTTTAGTTACGACCTTCTCCTTCCGCTTCGCCTTTTGAGCATCAAAGACCTCCCACAACTCAACAGTCACAACCCTGAACTTCTTTGACTAGGAACTTTGTTCAGGATGACAAAGTCCAGGTACTGGTGCATTGACAACTTTCATCTCTCGATCATTCTCCCGTACTCACTTAGGTGTCCTGGAAGGGCCTTGATCTTTTTGTGGACACTTGAAATTGTATGGACTCCTATACCCTAGCCTCCTCGGAAAGAACCGACTATGAAATTTACCTTTCAGTCCTTGATTTTATTCTCGAATCCCACAAGCCAGAGTCTAGGGCCCACTAAGAATGCCGCATAGCCATCTCGACTAACCTTGAAGTTCAAGAAATAAGAAAAGAGATCGGTCGACCATGGGATAGCAAGCCACTGATGAAAAACGATGAAGGTCATGATTTCAACAATTGAGTTCGATATTACTTGCATAGAAATGACATTGTAGTGAGTAAGGATTGCTCGCAACTCCCAAAAGAAAGGACGCCTCAGCCCACACTTAAATTGGTCCCAATGAAAGACCAAGTCCTTGCCATAGACAATGATTGCTCGGTCACTATTGTTGATTGCTCTCAACACCACCAACTTCCTAAGATAGAATGGAGCCGAAGAGCACTTGCGAATATTTGGGAGCCATGAAGACGAGACAAATAAAGGAGACGTAAAAAGAAATTGACAAAAAAAAAAAACCTCAAGAAAATATAACGATCACAACGAGTATTTTTTGAACGCTCAGTTGCATTAATAGAAAATTGAAGGAAGTCAAATCAAACACAGTTTGATATAGGAAAAAAATTAGATTTTATTTCAAAAATAAAAATATTTACATTTGCTGCTCAGTGGATACTCAATAAAACATTTTATAAAATTATTAGCAATTGCTTCAGCCAAGACAAACCCTCACTAAAACAGCTGCTTGTACATGTGTTCTCCCCCTAATCTAAACCTATCAACTATCTATCTATTTTAGTTTGTGCCCGAGCTTCCCAAGACGCCTCTCGGACGGCCAACAACCTCACCCGAGGAACTACAACTTTCTTGCAGAGGGCGGCCTCCCGAGCATGGATGACAACCAACCCTTCTTCCAGCTTTTCCAACTTGTTCACCCGTTCAAAATATAGGTGCATCTCCCCTCCCTGAGGAAATATGATCGCCAAGATGAATGAATCTTTTATTTCATGCAGTTTGCACTCTTTTAAGTTGGAAGATTCCGGCTCGGGCATCCCCCGGGATACTCAGATGACTGCTTATAGTCTCGGCTTTCTTGCAGAGGGCGGCCTCCCGAGCATGGATGACAACCAACCCTTCTTCTAGCTTTTCCAACTTGTTAACTATAGGTGCATCTCCCCTCGCTCAGGAAATATGATCGTCAAGATGAATGAATTTTTTATTTCATGCAGTCTGCACTCTTTTAAGTTGGAAGATTGAGGCTTGGGCATCCCCCGGGATACTCAGATGACTGCTTATAGTTTCGGCTTGGCACAAAGCACCCTCGACAAACCCTCAGTCTGCATGAGCGAGTAGATCAAAACCAACTTCTCTCGAGGGGAAATCGATAGACACCATTCTGGTGATCGGGTCATCTGCATCGAAAAAGAATATGAAGCAAGATTCAAAAAATAAAAAATTACCCAACGAATACCCTCTATACCCATGATTTGATCCCACTCCGAATTGGTGAAAGAGAACCCTTCCTCACCAGTCTTCTGTTCCACGACTTGAGGAAGGCAAGCGACACCCTGCGCCCTCCTCGAAGCTCGGATATCTACAATCTCTTGTACAATCCCCACAGTAGCTACTTGCAACGCCCCACGAGGCACCAAAACACCAACATTTTCTTGCTCTGCTACCTCAGACATCGACATTGGAGTCTGAGCAGGAGTGGATCGACCAACTAACCTTTCCTTCTGATGACCACTCCTCCATCCGAGATGCTTCTCCCAGACGATCTTTCTCCTTAGGTGCCCCTCTCTCGGACAGTTTTCTTCCTATTGCACCTTCTCACCGGGGAGGACAAGGAGCGAGTCTGACGATCCCATATGATCCTTCAAATCTGGTCTCCTTAGCTTCCTCGCCAACATTTTTTGTCTCCACACCCCTTCTAGGAGGGATTTACTCTCACACCTCATGTCCTCAAAAGCCCCCCGGTTGGCAGGTTTGGTGTATTTATCAGGCTTGCAGGGCGATGCATTCAAACAGACCTGGTGAAGAAAATTTGAGAAAGATGAGAAAAATGCACCCTTTACTCAATATTTAAGGAATCACAAGCACAAAATTCAAGGAGAATTCAATTATTGTATTATTAAGTACATATAAGTACTATTCTTTTTTGCATTAAACTTTCTTGTTTATCATAACTATCCCTTCCAAAAAGCAAGAAAATCAAAGAACTAAATATGCATAAATAAAATATGTCTGCATGAATCTCGAGGAAATCTGTCAGCTCAAGGAGAACGATATGACAAAGGCGGATCTACCGCCAGGAAAACCAACTCACCTTAGCCAATATTCATCGAAATCGATCCAATGATAAACACCCAGAAGACGTCCTCTACTCGAGGGCATAAGTCTTCTTAGCTCGCAATAACTCTTTCGGCGGGAATCGAGGACTAAAGAGCAGCCCAACTCATTTGACCAACAAACATGAATCTGGCAAACCCGTCTCCTTGACTTCATCCAAGAATCCTCCTAGTCGATGTTACCTAAAGGCTCGACCGATCGACACTGATCGATAGTCCCTTTCCAAAAGGTTGACCAACAACATTGATCAATTCACCAATTCAGCTCTATTCAACCAAGCCAGAAAGTACCCAAGAACCGAAAATGCTCCAGCTTGTGGAAATCGTAGAAAAAGATTGCGGGAGAGAAACTAAATGTTTCAAATGACATGAAAATGTGAATATACTTATTAAGTTTGATTAAGCTTTTATATTTTTATTTTGATATCTACAAGTATATATATATATATATATATATATATATATATAT